TCACGTAGATGATGGTGACGGCGAGGAGGATACCGGTGCCGGATCCGAGCGCGCCCATGAGGTCTGCGCAGACGCTGCAGGAATGAGTGGGGGAGGGTGTCGTGTCGAGAAGAAGGTGGGCGCAGAAAGAAGAGTCAGCCCGCTGTGTCCGATTCGCCGCGCTCACCTCAGCCCCCCGAACGGCCAGGGGAGGGCCGAGCTATGGCACTCACGAGAGGGCGCCGATCGTGGCACCACCAAAGGCGGCGGCCGTGGGGATGACGCGCTTGAGCTCCTTGTACATGGAACCCTCGCGGTGGCCGGCCATGACCATCTGGTTGTCCTTGAGCTGCTTGGCGACCTCGCGCGGGCCGCTGCCCGACACCTCGATCCAGGTCTTGGAGAAGAGGGCGCAGGCGGTGAGGGTGAAGGCGATGTAGATGGCCGTGTGGATGGGGTCCGAGACGACCTCCTTGAGCGTGTGCGGCGGCGACATGTAGTAGGCCAGTCCGGCGACGGCGTGGAGCTGCGGGCTGTCCTCCATGGGCTCCCACACGCCGAGCAGCTTGACGAAGAGGTTGGCGGGGAAGCGGGAGGCGAGCATCTGGCTGATGATGAAGACGTTGGAGGTGAGGGCGCTCTCGAGCATGATGGGCATGTTGCTGGTGTAGAAGAGCTTGACCGGGTACGTGCCGCGCTGGCCGCGGAACTTGTTGGACTTGACGGGGATCTCGATGCGGAAGCCCTGGAGGTAGATGACGACGAGGAAGATGACGAGGGTGGCGAGCAGGTTCATGACGTTGGGCAGGCGGTCGCGGTAGAGGGCCTCCTTGAGGGCGCGGCTCTTGTCGTTCCAGGTAAAGAGGAGGTGGAAGAGGGCGACGAGGGCACCCTCAAACTCGGGACCGCGGCCCGTGTTGACCGTGGTGGGCGAAAATGCCTTCCAGACAATCGACTCGCAGATGTTGGTGGCGATGAAGAGCGAGATGCCCGAGCCAAGACCGTAGCCCTTCTGCAGCAGCTCGTCGAGCAGGATGACGATCAGGCCGGCGACGACGAGCTGGAGGATGAGGAGGAGGCAGACGCCGGCGCCGAGGTCCTTGGGCTGACCGTAGAGGCCGGTGAGGACGTAGACGGTGGCCTGGCCGAGCGAGATGATGAGGGCGAAGACTGCATGTAGGCAGGCGGGCAGAGGGGTCGGCATGTACGAGGACGAGGGGAAGAAGCGACAAAGCAATGCGATGGTCAGTCTATGCGCATCGGAGGGGGGGGGGGGNGGGG